CAAAGCTGCATTACTAATCACAGTTCCAGGTTGCTCAGGAGCCTATGGACAAACTTCTGGATTTCCAACAGAATGTTGTGGATTGGTTACAAAGGTAATTGAAAAAGGCTAATATAAAAGGCTACCCATTTGTCCATGGGGGCTGGAAAGCAGTATAAATTATTCCCTCTGTTCTGCCTCAGCAGGTGTACAGAATGGCAAGCATAAACATCACTGTGTACTGTAAACCCAGTTCACCTTCCTCTGTTGGATGGAATATGTGGACAGGATGGGGAAAGACAACAAAGACAGCTTTGCTATTATTATATGTGTAGTAAATACTGCTTAATCTGTAAATTAAAAGAAGCAGCAGCAAAAAGAAAAAAAGCAAGTGCTCCCTGATCTGCAACTGTTCTTCTGGGATGTTTCTAGAGACACACAAAATGCAGTATTTTTCACTCATAGCTGCATCCTTGCAGCACAACCCAGGGTGGAAACTGCCCCAACTTCTGGCTTCAGTACAGAAAGATGTGTGCCACATACCAAAGCAAAGATATGCACAAAACCTCTGCTGCATATATTCAGCACTTTCTGTGTTCTGGGAAGCCAGCTGAAATCCTCTTGCCAAAGTGCTTCAGCCAGGCTGCACCTGGCCAGAGCTCCACATCCCAAGGCTGCTCAAGGTCTGTCTCCCCATGCACAGTGCAAACCTGACCCTGGTAAAATCATCACCTCCCTTTGCTGACGGTTTTTTGGTTTTTTTTTTGGCTGCAGTCAGACACGCTGCCTCAGCCACAGCTAAACCATGTGAAGGACTCCTGCTGCCAGCCCACCCCAGCCCTCCCCCTGGTCTCTGGGCACAGGCCACATTCCCTCTGAGCAGGATGTCACTGCCCTTCTCTGCCCTGCCAAGGTAAGGGCACAAGTTCGCACATCCTACCCAATCTTTCCCCACTGCACAAGTTAAACACTTCCACTGGCAGGCTTTCCAGATCCATCCCTTGCATGCACTTGAAGTGAAGCAGACTGGGTAGCACCTACGAACGATGCTACATCCCACGTTTCTGGGAGCGATGCAACCACTGATGAGAAACTGCTGTGGGAGTTGTCTCTGACACCAGCTGGGAGGCACCCAGCCCAGGCTGTGGGGTGGCAGCTCCTGCAGCACAGGGAGAGCTGTGTGGGGCTGCCAGGTCAGGCCCTTGCAGCAGGGAAGGACGTTTGGGCAAGCGCAAGGGGATGAGGCAGGGCAAGACCCCACATAAGCGTTTGTGCTTGTTCCCAGAAAACAGACATCACTGTGCACCTTGTCCTTCCTCTTGCTAATATCTAACGAGAATAAAGTCAAATGGAATTGCTATACAAACATGGTGGTGTTCTGTCTTTAGTGGGGAATGAAGGCTTTAATGTATACAAATTAATGTAAAAGATATAGAGGAGAGCTTTGTGCAACGTCAATACAGAAAAATATTTCCCAAGAAATCAACATTATCCAGTGAGCACTTTATTAAATTAATTTCACTTATATACGCACATTCAGAGAGCAAGGCCAGTTGATACAATTTCTAAAACAGAAAAAAGCTAGCAAATCAACTTAATACACTATTAAATCTTTCCAAAGGAAAAAAAAAATTAAAAAATCAACAAAACCCAACCACCTCAAAAAAATCTACCCACAGTAATTTTACAGGGAGATAATGAAAGAGAAAAGATACACAAGTATTGTCATGCTATTAATGTTGGCAAGACAAGAAAGGAGAAAATGGGCAATTACCCGTAAACACAGCTTCTCAGCTGTGTAACAAAACAAATAATCAGAACAAAAACCACCACTTAAAAGTCAATAAAAGCACATGTATTCATGAAGGTATTGCTAGATAAACTCACAACACCTTTTCATATTTCTCCTCCATTATCCTTCTCATGAAACAGGGAGAGTGTTACAGCATCCCGCTGTGCAGAAAAAGCAGGAGAGGACGTTCAGATGCAGCCTTAACCAGAAGAAACAGCAGTGGCAGTAGGAAGCAAATTAAAGTCTAATCAAAAACTTGTAAGCAATTGAGAGAAACTGATTGTGGAAGAAGCTAGGTTTTATTGTGACCACAGTAATCGACTGTTTGCATTGAGTCAAGAACACAAAGAAAATTATTGCACCACTGGCTATCAATCCTGTATCAAGAAGTATTAAATTATGAACAAGGAAAGCAAAACATCCCCTTATGAAGTCGAGGAATGACAGTGTTTGTATTCATAGCTCATTATCAAAAACATCTCAGACCTATTGAGCTTATTTTGAGAGGACTATGGAGAAAAAAAGGCCTGATCAAAACTTCCGCAACTGTGCACTCCCATGAAGCAAAGAAATTGAAAAATATAATCACCAAGCCCTGAGCAGCAGAAGTTATAAAGCTCAGCATCCTATGAAGGACCCACACAAATTTTCTGATGTCTATTAAGCTGAATGCTTTCTACAGTGCTTCCTTCAATGGGGGCATCAACCTCATCTCCATGGCCACCAGAAGCCTTGAGGTTTGGAAAATTTCATCACTTTGAAATCTCTGCTCTTCTGCTTATATTGGCAGAAATTAATCCCCAAGGGTAAACAAAATACACCAAGGCAATGAGGGGAGCTATCAGTCAGACAGCATTATTATTGTTTCAGCTTCATCTCCTTAGGAAACCAGGCTGAAATTAATATAGTCAGGGCAGAAGGGAAGAAATAACAAACATAAATCTAAAATGAGAAAAACTTCTAAAACCAGAATTTTTTTAGAGTCAAGTACAGAAGACAATATTTCACGTGAGGAAAGCCAGATTTGGGAGCTTTTCACAAACAGATCACCATTTCTGACTTTCTAGGATTTCTGCTAAGCCACACTCTTAGGCTGCAATGAAAATCTGGATGATCCCCTTGTAAAAACGCAAACGCCAGAATCTTAATCCACTCTAACACAGATGTTTGACTGTCTAAATACTTCTACCAGACAAGATCACTTGGATTTATTTTTGTAATTCTCCCCTTTCAGTGGTGGGGGTGATCTCATGGGCCACTGAGTGGCCAGTCTGGATACCACAGAGTGCAAAAAATCAATCCAAAATCCTGCACTGTTCCACTGCTCACAAAACTATTTGAGAGAACGAGGTGCACCCTAGGGAGAAGCTGCAATGCAAGAGGCTCTTTGGACATCAGGTGAAGAGAACACGTCAATTTTCCTCACTTTCCCCACAAATCCAGTCAAGAGGAAGCCGCACCCAGAGAATGAGTGTGGTCCTGAGGCATCTTCACCAGGGGGAGAAATCAACAAAGTACAGCAGAAAGGCCAGCAGGAGTTCAGGGAACACATGATCTTGAGCTGGTGGAAATAACTATACAAATGATTCCTCACAGATTGTCCACCCCAGGTTTTAGAAACTGAAGGAAACAGTTACATTCTGAAAGGCTCATTAAAAACCCTCATCAGTATACTAACAGAAAATATTATTTGCTAACAGGATGGTCAGTGAATGGACACAAGGAAACAGTTCTGCAGTTTCAGACAGATTAACAATACGACCTGACTGAGTTTCTCTGCATTTCATGACTTGCACCAATGTTTTTTAAATTTGTCATGAATTTCAAGTTCATGCATATTTTTACAGCACAGTGATGTGTTATGCTCTTTTGCCTTAATTTGTAACTGTCATGACACATCTAATTTAAAAGAAAAGAAAAAGAAAAAAAGAAAAGAGACTGGCCTCTGTTCCAACAGGATTATTACAAAGTCAAGGTACAGAACTAAACCTTCAGTCTAATAGTACACTCTAAAAGTATGTGCTTTTAGAAGTTATGTGAGTATTTATAGTTAAGTTTCAAATTATCTCACTTACATTTGTAAGTATTTGCTATCAACCACAATGTTATATTTCAAAACCATCCTGGCATGCACATTCAAGTTCAAAACTTAAAAGAGAATAAGTTAAAACAAAAAGCTCAGTAACTCAGACCATTCTCATCCCCATGAGTTCTTCAGCCAGAAAAGATAAACAAAGTGTCATTGTCTTCCCTTCAGCTGTTTTTAAGGTCTCTGTTTTGATAAAATTTTTATCAAGATTTTTTTTTCCTAAATACAGAAGGTGATGAAGTTATACTGTGGAAGTCAATATGCCCTGTGTATTTCCACATTACCAATCCTAACCACAATGTCCCCAAAGGTAATTTAATCCATTGCTTCAGGAATTTTTAATACTCTTTTATTTCTCTCTTTGCTAAAAACACTTGCCTGCTCTGCAGAGTCCAAAAATAACTTCAACAACTAAGAAGCATCAGTTATAACTGGATTAAGAAACAATTCTCTTACGGTCAACATTCTGTGGCAATCAGAAAAAAAAAATTCCTGCCTTGCATGTGATCTAAATACAAGAACACAGAAAGCTGAAAGTCAGTGATGTATTTTAACTGGTCTTCCAGGAATATATTTTGCATCCACAAACTACATGTCAGCTGTTTATTATCGTGTCCGTGCAGCTTAAATTATGGACTTCGTGCACAACGTTATGTTTCAAATGTGTGTTGTAATATACCTAAGCAGTAAAATACTCTCTAGCCTTCGTGTTGTCTCCACTGATTAATTTGACCATATAAACATAACTTCAGGAAGGAGACGTGCTTAAAAATCGCACCTGGCGCACTTCTGATTGCTTTTCTCCCGGAGAAAAAGTCACTTAAGTTTCCTTCCCGATTAGAGGCAGCCTGTGTATGACACCGATTAGCGGCTTTCCCGAAAGGTTAATAATACCTGGCGCTAAGGAACATTAAACCGGGTCAGTCCGGAAGCATCCCGGGCAGGGAGGCACAGCCAGATCTCCCGTGTCCTATCCCGAAGAACGCCTGGGACGCGATGCTCGGACACGGGACATCACATCCTCAGGACCACCCTCACCAGCAGCTTCACCGCTCCTCGCCCGCCCTCTGCTCCAAACTTCTCCCCGTTCCCTTCGATGCCCCAAGGGCTGCCCAGGGCCGGGAGGGACGCGCTCGGTACCTGGGCACTCCGCGTCGCCGGGAACGCTCCGGTTTGCGGGCGGCCCCTGCCGCGACCGCACGGCTCCTGCGGGATGTTCCCGTCCTGCAGCCGGCCCGGGCGGCGATCCAGCCCCGGCAGCCACGGCCCGGGCTGAGCGGGACCCCGCCCGCGCCTCTCGCCCCCCGCCCGGCCCCGGCTTCCCCCGCCGCCGCCGCCGCCCTCACCCGGCGCCGCAGGTCCCTGCCCTCGGATGGCGCTGCGCCGAAGCCGCGGCCGTGCCCGGGGCCGGCGGGCTGCCGCGGGATGTGGTGCCGGGAGCCGCGCCGGGAGGCGGCGGGAAGCCGCGCCCGCCCCCCGCAGCCCGTCCGGCGGGAGCAGCGGGGGGCCGGGCCCCGGGGGCTGCCAGGCCCGGAGGTGGCCGGCGTGGGGCACCATTGCCCAAAACACCGAGCAGGGCTGGCTCGGGCTGCCGCTGCCGCTGGGAGAGGGGACCGGGCTGGGACACCCCGGCAGCCGGCGCGGAGGGACGCACCTGCCGAGGGTCCCTGTCCCCCGCGGCCCTCACAGCGCTCAGAGCTGCCCGGCTGCAAGCTGAGGTGGGGGGAAAGAGCAGGTCCCGGTGCCCTGAAAACAATGGGGAGAACAGCTCTTACCTGGAGCTTTGCTGACTTTACTCCCTTTTCTTTCTCCTCCTTTTGGCTGCAGTCCCTCAAACTGCACCAGCAAAATGACACAGGACATCCTCCCACTCCTGCCCGACGCAAGCAGCGAGCGTGTGACAAAAAGTTGGCACCTGGATGTAGCCATATGAGACCCTTTCTGGCTCCGAGCCTCGTTATGTCGCACAGGGAGAGGCCGTGGTGCAGCTGCACGCCTCTGTCAAGGCTGCTGGCCTCTGGGACATGCCTTCGTGCAGGAGTTTGGAAAAACCCAGCCTTGGCCTGGAACCAGCAGTCTTTGCCGTTTTCCGCTTAAAATGGTGCCCTGTGAAGAGTGCTGCAAGTTTTTTGCCTTAAAGATTGTGTTCAGTGGAAACACAAAATTAACATCTTCAGGCATATTCTACCATATTGTACCAAAGTGGCTTTGAAAGCTTTTTAAAAGATCTAGAGATTTTGAGCATAGCATAGATTTTTTTTTTAATTGTACCAAAAGGACTCTAGATTACCTATTTTGAAATCACTTTAAACAGTTTTGAAAATCACACTACCATCTATCAATCTATATACATATACATATGAGACTTCATCCAGCTGTTTGCCTATATCCAGTCAGAGCCAAACGAAAAGAGAATATGCCCAGAGATTTTTCATTTATACTCAGAAACTTTCCATTTATATTCTGAGAACTGGACAAATGCAGACAAAGGTGGGTATCTTACCTGTGCTTTTCAGTGTTTACACTATAAACTATGTCAAGCTTTTTATCATATTTATTTATGATAACAAATAAAGAGAAACAGAGGATTAGAATTTCATTCCATTTTGAAAATGAGGTTGGCTTTCATGAACCTAAAATCCCTTGGTTTTATTTCTTACATATTTCTGGCGTGACCTAGAATACTTAGGATCTATTTTTAACATTATTTAAGCCATGTTGTTAAAGTAATCCTATTTACAATGGGAACTCTAAGCACCAAATAACTCAGGTGATGGCTTAGAATTGGTTGATTATGTTGCATTTTTATCAGATCTTTCCAAATGTCCTCTTAAAGTACAAGAGCTGTAGTTTGGAGTCCTGCCAATACTCCCTCTAAAATATTTTTCTTAGAATATAATTTGCTGTATCTCCTTTAATGATTAGTTTCTTTGCAATTTATTTCATTATTTGGGCAGATGGCTTGATTTCTCAAAAAAACCCTCTTATGACTACTATTTTTAGCTTAATGACAAAAACAACTGGTAGGTGTCTTTTCCAGGTTATAAGGAAGGTTTATTCAGAAGAATGATTCTGCAGTTATTCCCTCACAAAGTTAGTATTTGTGCTATAGATTTACATTCAGCAGAAACTGAAATCCAGTGTGCTGGTCACCTTCAGGGCTTTGTTTGTGTGAGAACACGTGAGCTAAGGAGAATACGCAGATATTGGTGCCAGGGTCCTGTCCTGCACTTAGCGTGGTAGCATGGAGGCCTTGACATCCTTCTAGCCCACCCGTATCTCTTCTGAGGGAGAGCCCAAGCCGTGTATTCCTTCAGGCTGAGGCAGTGGTGGGAGTTGAGAGGTAGCAGGAGATGCTCCTCACCTTCCCTGGTGCGGCTGGCAGATGCTGTGTGCAGGTGGGACTCCGTGCGTGGCGTTTGGAGTGGAGCCCTGCAGACACCTGCCCTGAATCAGATCCAACAGGAACGCCTGGAGGAGCCACTGATGCCTACAAGTGAGATGATTATTCCATGACAACAAGTTCTTCGGGGATGTGTGTGTTCCCAGTGTGGCACTGAGAGAAAAATCCTTTCTGCAGAGGAGTGAATCAGATACCTTAGTGGTGTTCAGCAGTGGAAAGCTGCTTTGAAGCAGCTGGGATCAACTTATTTTCTGCTGTGGGCATGCCTTGACAGAAATGTGGAGCTTCCCTACTTAGCACCACAATTTGGTATCTCTTTCATTTCTTTATTATAAACTGCTATTTCTTTATTTTAATTTCTCCTTTCTTGTAGCAAAATCAATGTCACTTGAAAAAGAGATTTTGTATTTGTAAGTCTTGCTGAGAATATTTTCATATTGTAGCCCTGCGTAATTTCTGTATTTTCAAATATCTGCAGGATTAGGAAAAAATCATAGTGTGCTTTAATCATAATCATGCCAAATCTATCTTTCTTTATATTATATTGTACTTATTGTTGGGAGTTTCAGATTTCCAAAGATACTTCTAATGAAATCAATTGCTGTCACAGGAAACAAACCAGTGAGGAAAATGTTGACTGTGCTGAATTCCAGTTGTGAAATTTATGAAGGAGATTATGGTTTACTGTGGTGCCAGGGAGACAGGGAACGAAGTCCGTGGCCCAGATCCTTGCTAGTCCTGTGACCATGTTCCACGTTCCACTTGGCATCTAAAATTTTAAAGATAAACAGGACATAAGTAAAGTAAAAATGAAACAAAACCAAAATTCAGACTTCTATGACTGCTTTGCTCTCTGCAGTGGGCACTGGCAGTACTGCCAGCAAGGGAAGGGGATTACACCTGGGGAGCAGTGGGGCACCATCCTCCTCTGTAGGCCACCTCACTGGGTGGGCCATGCAGAAAACTTCCTGCCAGTGGCCCTTCCCTGGGATAGGGCTTTGCTGAGTTGGGTTTTCATAAAATCTGAGCAGCTGTGGTACTGGGTGTAGCAACGTATCAGAGACTGAAGCTGCCTTTTAAGCTGGAGACAGAATCTTGCCATAGTAAAGGCTTCTGAACTCTCTCCCTTTGTCCGGTTTATCTCGGCTGTTTGAGGGGCCTGGAAGGCCCGGGGTGGCCTTGGGGCAGCCCGCGTATCGAAGGACGAGAAGAGGCTTCAGTTCTTCTTTCTGGTTTTATGTTTATTAATTGTTTATCTAAAAGATGTTCTTTCAGCCGAACAAAGATCCGCTCAGCAGTCAGCCATGGGCACACTGTGCCGTCCCACGGACCACCACGTATCTTTATACCCCTTGCTACGTATACAATATTTATCATTTTTCCCCAATACCATCTATTGTTATAACTCGGTGTACTCTTAGTAATAACCAATCCAAAGGTGCCACCGTGGCCAAAGAAGATGGAGGAGAGGAGGAAGAAGAAGGAGGGCAGGACACACCCCAATTCCTCCATCTTACTCCTCTAAACCCCCCTGTACATAAATCCTAAACCCTGTTTCTCACCCTCTAATTAGCTAATCTTTCCACCCTTCACCCCGGTGAGGCCCTCTTATCTTCATAAAGGTGTCGTCTCCCGTGTAGGGTCAAAGTCCTGCCACCAGACACTTCTGGCAACATTCCAGGACTCCCGGGCCCCCCAAGGGTGGTCTCGGGGGCCCTGCATCCCAGGACTCAAATCCTGAGATCCCACATCCCTTCTGCTAGAGAACCGATTTTAGAAAGCTGACATTTTGGACTCCTTAAAAGCATCAACTTAAGAGGTGCAAAATAAATCAATATTCCTTGGAGGGGAAAAAAGAAAAAAAAAGGGAGAAAGATTCTTAGAAAGACGACAAATAGAAGAGATTTTAAATAGAAGATTTTATCTGAAGGTAAAAGACATTTTTCCAGAAGTGGAAGTCATATGCAAACCAGGAAGCTTATACAGATCCTAAACCTAAACAAAATAGGCTTAAAAATATAAATGAAGAGTTTGCAGAACAACTTGCTAGAGGCAAGTATAAAAGTTACTCATAAAACCTTAGACCACAAGAACTAGGAAGTTCTGCAGAGCTGAGGGATTACCAAGGAGTAGGAGGACCACAAAAAAGGCCATGAAAGAGATGCTAATGCAACTCTTTCTTTGCAGTTTCTCTACCCAAGAGCTTGGAGACATTCATATCCATCCACTTTCTTTACAAAAATCAGATCTGCAGAGTTTTCCCATATTGAATGGCTTTAAGGAAGAAAAAAAAGCTCATATAAAGAAAATGGATAATAAAATCAGCTTGCCTGAGTCCTATTCACCTCTGAGTATCTTGAGAGGTCAGGCATTGAACAACTGTCCCACTAAATTTGAGGTAAATTTGCCATTCAAATACTTTTTGAACTAAGCCAAATAGAAAGGTGCAAAATCTTGAGAAGGGCTCCAGAGGGTATTTGTATTTGAGACAATCCACTTAAAAATAACCTAAAAAATAGTATCACTTGGCATATGAATAACTCTGAACTAATACCATCCTGGCCTGTATCAGCAGTAGTGTGGCTAGCAGCACCAGGGCATTGACTGTCTCCCTGTACTCAGCACTGGTGAGGCCACACCTCAAATTCTGTGTTCCGTTCTGGGCCCCTCACTGCAAGAATTGAGATGCTGGAGTGTGTCCAGAGAAAAGCAATGGAGCTGGTAAAATTCTGGAGCACAAGTCCTGTCAGGAGTAGCTGAAGTAGCTGCTGAGTTATTCAGCCTAGAGAAAAGGAGGTTCAGGGGGACCTTATCGTTCTCTACAACTGCCTGAAAGGAGGGTGTAGCCAGGTGGAGTTAGATCTGTTCTCCCAGGTAACA